TTTTTTTTTACAGGTTTCTCCTCAAGTATGTTTTTTCTTTTTTACTTCCATCCCCTACTTTTCCTTTTTACTCCTTCCCTTTGTTCTTTACCTCTAGGATATAGGGTTAAAATTACCCTGTGTTACAACATAAAATAAGAGAGAAAAATAAAAAGGAAAGAAGAAATAATATTAATATTAATAATTATGAAATAAAATTAATAAAAAAATAAAGAAAAAGAGAAAGAAAAACATACACACACACACACACACATATTTATAAGCAAACTGTGGTTAATATGTGCCCTGGAAGAGTTAATGAAAGGAAAAAAGAAAAAGAAAAAAGAGTCTCAAAAAAAAAAAAAAAAAAAAAGAATTTAATTTGTATCTTTCTAACATTTTATATTTCTTTCTTTCTTTCTTTTTTTATTTTTGTTTGCAGTTTTGGCCAGGGCTGGGGTTCAAACCCGCCACCTCCGGCATATGGGGCTGGCGCCCTACTCCTTTGAGCCACAGGCACCGCCCATATTTCTATATTGGCCATAGGAGGCAAAGGGACAAGTTGCTGCTTCCTCAGCAGTTTTGATGCAGCTAGAACTGTGACAGTTACTTTAGACAAAAGGAAAACCTAATAAATCCATTGACTTTTATCTAGAGTAAGAGTAACCTTTTGTTTTGGGAGAGTAAAATTGGCATTTTCTTATTTCAATTTTTTTTTTTTTTTAAAGAGACAGAGTCTCACTTTATCGCCCTCGGTAGAGTGCCATGGCATCACACAGCTCACAGCAACCTCCAACTCCTGGGCTTAGGCAATTCTCTTGCCTCAGCCTCCTGAGTAGCTGGTACTTCAGGCACCCGCCCCCAACACTTGGCTGTTTTTTGGTTGTTGTTGTTGCAATTTGGCCAGGGTTGGGTTTGAACCTGCTATGGGACCAACACCCTACCCACTGAGCCACAGGCACTACTGCTTATTTCAATTTTTATTATAGATGCCTTAGAGTTAATGAATAATAGCAGTATGTTGTTATACATCTGTAACAGAGCACAAATGCTTAGTTATTGCTATTTGCCTATGTAACTCTCTAATCTGTTTTATTTTATTTGTGCAGATACTGATGTTTATCCAGGACTAGCTGTGTTTTTTCAAAATGCACTTATATTTTTTAGGTAAGTATGTGGACTATTTCTTAACCACATTTATAAAATTTATAGAAATGTCAGCTTTATTATGAGAGCATATAAATAGAAACATGTATAAATCCATCAGTCACAATAATAGAACTTCTTTTAAAGTGTAAAAATTACACTGTTACCTAAGAATATACATAAGCCTTTTAATTAGGGATTCTACTGTGTACCACAACTTTAGCCAGATCTCTTATATATGTTACCTATTTAACTCTCATTTACTTATCTTAAATATATGTCATGTTATTTGCATTTTGTAGATGAGGAAATGAGGCTCAAAGGACACTTATAGGATACCTAGCTGGTGAATACAGAGCTGGGATTTGAACATAGATTGTTTGCTTCAATAGCCTGTGCTTTATTAAATACCTAATTGGGCATTGGACTTTTATTAAAGAAGGAAAACAAGAAAACTCAGAATTAATACATAGTATGCATGTTATATATAAAACCTACTGGGGAATCAGTTTTTTAGATTGAGTTTTTTTTTTTTTTTTTGAGACAGAGCCTCAAGCTATCCCCCTGGGTAGAGTGCCGTGGCATTACAGCTCACAGCAACCTCCAACTCCTGGGCTC